AACTTTCTCCCATCTCCTGACTGCATCTCTGGAGCTCAGCCACAGTCATCTTTGGGTTCTTCTGTACTTCTCTCACCAAGGCTCTTCTCCCCCGATAGCTCAGTTTGACCGGACGGCCAGCTCTAGGAAAGGGTCTGGTCGTCTTAAACGTCTTCCATTTAAGGATTATGGAGGCCACTGTGCTCTTAGGAACCTTAAGTGCAGCAGAAATTTTTTTTGTAACCTTGGCCAGATCTGTGCCTTGCCACAATTCTGTCTGTGAGCTCTTCAGGCAGTTCCTTTGACTTCATGATTCTCATTTGCTCTGACATGCAGTGTGAGCTGTAGGGTCTTATATAGACAGGTGTGTGGCTTTTCCTAATCACGTCCAATCAGTATAATCAAACACCGCTGGACTCAAATGAAGGTGTAGAACCATCTCAGGGATGATCAGAAGAAATGGACAGCACCTAAGTTAAATATATGAGTGTCACAGCAAAGGGTCTGAATACTTATGACCATGTGATATTTCAGTTTTTCTTTTTTAATAAATCTGCAAAAATGTCAAGAATTCTGTGTTTTTCTGTCAATATGGGGTGCTGTGTGTACATTAATGAGGAAAAAAATGAACTTAAATGATTTTAGCATATGGCTGCAATATAACAAAGAGTGAAAAATTTAAGGGGGTCTGAATACTTTCCGTACCCACTGTATATGTAAACTACTCAAAGTAATAAAAATAAAAGTGCTCATCATATACTGTGTACAGTAGTAACAGTTGTGTAAGTATTGTAGATGGTGGAGGTGGAGCAAATCTGAACAGCTTTGAATACTGTAGTGTACTGCCGTTAAATCTGCAAAATCCCCAACATCATGTAGATGTTTCTAAATATATTTATGTCCTCAAAATATATTTTCCTAAAACACATGAAAACAATCTTTCAGTGCAGTAACCATGCTGTTTAGCCAGATTTGTTTTTTTTATTTATTAAAAATGCTGCAGAAAGGAACGTCAGGAGGCCGTGACAGGACGGAAGAAGGCAGGCTGCTGAGCCAGAATCATGAGAAGTTGAACTTTTTTCACGAAAATACATAAAACAAGGGTTGATGTTGAAAATAGGTTGGAATGTTCTGCCTGGACTGTCAGTTTTTATACTTTTATAAAGACACGGTGGTGTTGAGTCACAGCCTGAAAGGACTCAATGAGAAGGAGATTTCATACAGCGAACAAAGCAGATCATATGATTCCTATGAAAACTGTTTAAGAAAAAATGCAGTGCAGTAAAAAGTACAGTATTTGCCTCTGATATATAGTGGAATTAAAGTATAGTAGAGCACAAAACTGAAATGCTCAAGTAAAATACAAGTACCTCAACATTTTACTTAAGTTTAGTACTGAGTAAAAATACATGTTGTTAGTTTCTGCCACAGGCTGTCACGTCACCTGTTTTCTCATGTGTTTCTACTTCATTGCATTGCATGTTTTCACTGACCAACAGATGCAACACACACGGGTCTCAGGTCTGGGTAAATATAGACCATGATGCTAGCTGTGAGACAAGTGGCAGTTAGAGTGTAGTCTGATAAAGACAGCAGCCTGTCTTTGTGTTTGCGGCATCATGATGGCATATAAAAGGCTGTGCAGCAGTGTAATTCGCAGCAGTGTCACGGTGAATAATCATCATCCCAGAGGAGCACAGGTGAGGAGAGAGCAACTTAAAGAAAGGTCACAGTGCTTTTATTTTGGCAGGTCGTCTTCTCAAGTGCACCTAGTTACTGCATCGTAGCTTCAGGAGAGCTGCAGACAGAGGCAGCCTTTCATCACACTCCGTTTCACTCTCATTGGTGTTCTTTAAACAAATTAGTTGTGATGATTTGCATGTCATGTTCCTGCCATGCAGCAAGTTGATCCTCTGCTGACGAAAGTAGCATCACATGGAGGTTTCACCAACTTCCCTGTGATGATTGGAAAGTGAAAATGCAGCTTGTAGTCCAGAACTGAAAAGCTCAGACTTTTTAATCATTGTGTGGTTGCTTGGCAGTGGGACAACAAAACCTGACATAATGCCTGATCTCAGTGGTAAAGTTTAACCTAGTTATTAGTCCTCTGCAACTGGCCTGTGACCAGATACTGTCGGTGGTTTGGTAGTTAATAGGACTCATGACACTGTTCTCAGCTCTGTTGACAGCAGAACAGGTATGAACTTTCACATGTGTGGGTGCTATTGTGCACAAGAAATGGCAATAAAATGAGGTTATCAACATTATTGTGGGAGGAACACCTTTGTGGTTTGTGTGTGTTTTTCAGCTTTAGGCTACTTCCTGTGCTCTGAAAGATGCAGAAGGCTGGCTTCTAAGAAACTATAGGAAGAGGCTGGTACTAAACGCTGTTTGACACAGAATTTATTTAGCTAAATATTGTTGATGAGCACTCCAAAGTGACACAGCTGTCATTTGAATGATCATTTTTTTTAAATATGCAGGAAATTGTCTTTACAAAGGTTTACCCATTCTGTAGACGCACCCGTGAATATGTTTGAGTTTCTACATTTGCATTTTTTTGCCTTTCCACAGGTGGAGAAGGAGAGTCTCCACTCAGCTGTGTACGTCAATGTAGCCCAGCTTCGCCAGAGCATCTCCAAGTCTCCCCCCTCGGCTCCTTCATCCTACTCTCCTTCCTACCTTGACCCAGAGGGATGGGAGGTGCATGTTGATCAGGAAAGTGGACAGGAGTACTACTACCACCCTACAACGGGGCACACCACTTGGGACAGTCCCTTTCCAGACTCCCCCACAGACCCTGAGCGTCTCTGCACAGATCAGCCTTGTTTCTCCTCACCTTCTCAGTCTCCTGCCCTTTCTCCATCCACTGCCTCACCATCTACGCGGACTTCAGACTGGGAGCAACTGATGGATGAAACCAGCGGTCGCCCCTACTTCTACAATTCAATGTCTGGGGAGACGTCCTGGGAGCCTCCAGAGCAGCTGAGCCCGTATCCCCCTCTGATGGAGCCTATGAGCATGCACAGATTTGAGGAGGCAGAGCGGGTAAGAAAGATCTGGATGCTCTACTTAGTCTCTCTGTCTCCTGTTTTAGCTTCACTCAGGGGAAAACTGTTGATGCAGTCAGGTTTTAATGGAATTAACTCTCTTGCACCTACATAGCAGACAGGACTCGTTTCCACTTGGAAAGCTCACTAGTAGTGTAGGGTCCCTAACTTTGAAAGAACCAACATGTTTGTCCTCATTTTGAATGAACTAAAAATAATGATCATTTTTTGAAATATAATGAAGCATAATGTGAATTCAGTAGATATCGAAACACGCTGAAAGGTTTCGCAGTGGAACGATATCTTGATCATTTATCATTGTTGCATTATTTAAATAGTTTCCCAGATTTATTTCATTACATTGTTTTCAGCTGTTTTCTTCACAACCAAACAACAAGTGACCTATTTTCTGCCTCTTAGAGATTTTTTTGAGAGCACATCATTAATGGACCAAGAAAGAGGTCATGGAAATGCTGTGAAATCTTGATCAAAGTCATGGAAATGTCCTTGAGTTCTGTATTAGGTGCAGGAAATTATTCTACTGACATTATTCAGTGAGATTTGGACAGTGCCAGTGTATTGATCTTCTCATCTGACCCCCACAGGAGGATTTATAAGTGGATTTCCCCAAAATGTTGAACTATTCCTGTAACAAGACAGAAAAGGAGAAGACAAAATAATTTCTGTCAAATAGTCAGATCAAATGTCAGCCATTTGCTTTTTGTGAAATGCTTTAGAGTTTTCTACTTCAGCACTCAAACAGGACATGACTCAGGTTACTCTGTTCGCAGCTAGTCAACGTACGTAGGGTCACAAATCAAAAACACTGGAAACCAATGAATTACTATATAGTCTAAGGTTATTCTCAGGTCTGTGTCTTACATTGTCTCCACCATGTTTACATGCCCAGCCTCCTCTACCTGAGGAGGACTACCCCTCGGAGGATTACCCAGCTGCTCATCTACCAGAGATCTATGAGGAGCTCCTTGCCACGGGACCTCCCACTTTCCCTAAAGTCAGTCATGTGAACAGGACCGTCATCCCCAGGGCCAGCCTGGAGCGCAGCAGCTCGGCTGGCTGGAACCTCAACGTGGAACCTAATGGGACCTGGGTGTTCACCAGTGAACACTGTGCAGATGAGGTATATTCAAGGACTGACTGAACACAGACAAAGAGAGCCATGTGTAAAAAGGGTTCAAATAGCTTTCATTGTAGCCTGTAAACCACTTCAACAGTACTGGATAAGATGAATTTCTGAAATTATTAATTGCTTTGCACTGTAGGATTCAAACACAGACATTGAGATTAAGAGATATTTCCAGGACACCTACTGTGATGTTTAATTCTAGAGGGTATTTTCAGTTCAACAGATTGACATTGCCATACATTAGCCAGTGTGGCTAAAGATAGAACTATAGGAAAACGTTCATATCCTGCGCCGCCTCACACCAGTCCAGTGTGTGGAGTGGGCATGGTTGTCGAGTTATCAGTTATGTAAAGTTACAAAAACTGTCAGATGCAGCCCCCCTCGGTTCAGTTGTTGGAAAGGTGTAGGCGAAGGCTGTTTCAGACGTTATCTGACAACCACTTCATCTGAAGCAAACTGATTTACCATGAAATACCAGCTTCTCTAACAACAGGCTGTGATGCCATGAGTGTTGTTCAGCTCCTCTTTCATGTCACCTACTGTATCTCTTTCTTATTGCTATAGGACATTCTTTTAATTTAAAAGTGTTAATATAGTTACATATTGTATGGGCGAGGAGCTTTTTATGTTATGCATTATAGCTATTTAATGGTGCTCCTTTCCAGGCAGGCAGCAAAAAATCAGTTTCTTTTTCTTTTTTTAACCACCGGTGACATCGAATCACTTTTAACTAAGAAACATATGTTGTGTAACAGTGGATCAAGTCTGTGGATGACCGAGGGCAGACCTACTACTACCTGAGAGATGGCTCCAAGTCTCAGTGGAACCTGCCTGAGGTAAAGATCTTTACATGCTCATAAAACCACAATAGATGTCTATCACAGTTTGGACTTGCCTTTTTGCTGGATTTATGTTGTTCGAACACCAATTAAACGTTATATTGAGATGATTCATGATGTTCAAACCTTGTGGCCAGTGAAGTCTTCACATGATGTAAAGTATTTAGTAAAACTATGTGTATAATTCAATCAAAGGTGTTATGATAAAACTGGTTAAAGGTTTAGCTATTTAATTAAAATTGATTTTTCCATGTTAATCTTTCTATAACAATATTAATGGTAAATAACCGTTAATAATGCATTAAGCCTATTTAAAATCTTTTAAATGTTGACAGTGATACAGTAGATTGTTTTATTTACATCTTTACTGCAAAGAGCACTGTGCCTTACTGTCTTGCATTTGACTGATCTGCAATTCAAGCATTTTTTGTAGGAGAAAAGTAAGTGTAAATAAAAAATAGTACCCTGAAAATGACACTGGCAGTGCCTTTTCTGAGCCCTCAGAGGTGTCTGCATTCCTTTCAGGCTGCACATGGCCCAGTTATCCTTATCAATACAGTGGGGCAGCCTGTATGTATCCTGAACAGCGAAACTCAGGGCAGAGGAAGTCAGCAAACACACTGCGCCGATCTCATGAAGCTTGCTGCTTTGAGCCAATGGTGGTAACAGTGGCAGCTCAGACGAGGATAGCAACCATTTCTATCATGGATTCTGTTTTGTTATCTGGACTGTTGTAGACTTCACAGTAATAAAACACTGTTTAGCAAGAAAACTGACCTGAAACGATGCAAGTGAGAGGGAAACCAGTGGAAATGGCGGCCTTTTGTTTTTAGGACATGAGTTTAATCAAAGAGTAGTTTCACATGTACTCTTGTCTGTTTTAATGTTAAACGGGCCTTTGTCTTGTCAACTGTCAAGATTTAAAAGTGTATAAATGATACTAAACTGAAGTGTGTGTTGGTCCCTCCAGGCCCCTGCAGCTTCAGGCCATTCCAGGGTGGAGAATGGTGTTGAGGAAGAAAACGTGTCAGTCATTAAAAACTGGAGACAAACCATGGGACCTGCACTGCTCGGCTCAGCCCTGGATGATGGGGTGCAGACACACACAATCTCAGACCTGCATGTACATGTACATCCTAGGGTGTGTCAGCCGGCCTAAACAGAAGGCTTTAGACAGGCAAAGGCAGTGAGCTGACGCTGGATTTTAACCCTTATTTAGCACTTTTATTTACAGCAACAGCTTGAGGACAGAGCTGCAGAGGGAGGGACAGGGTGGGCTACATTTATGCACAAACACCCTCGATACAAATAAGGGCTTGTACTTGTCCAGTATCATGCTCAAGGGCACAGCAGTGGTAGGATTTAAAGCCAGGGCTGGGGTTTAGTTCCCCTTGATTTAATGCAAATGTAATCTGTTCTTCAATTTTTTATCCATATTTTTTATTCCTATTTATGAATTAAATCAAATTCATAAAATAAAAATACGTTAGGCTTTGTAGCTGCTGTCACTTTTTCCATTACCAACTGTATGAAGAGCCTTTTTGACATTTCCAGCTACTTCTTGGAACATAAACCTTATGTGGTGATTTTTGAATAACCTTTAATTCCACACTGTTTTGGCTGTAATCGAAGTTACATTTTAGATGTTCTATGTTATATTCATGTGTTTACATTCATAAATGATAAACCCTAAAATCTGCCATTCTTCCTGTGTTATACAGAGATTTCTCCCGACTCACAGGAGGAACACTTCAGGCTACAGCAGCGACAGCTCCAGTACAGGAAACTCTCCAGAGACGCAGCATAATGTAAGTGGTGTTTGTGTTCTGTTCATACTGGTTACTCTAACAGAAGGCAGAAAAAAATGACAGTTAGCCTTTAATGGTGTTCTGTGTTTCTCTCTTAAGGCTTTTGGGTTTAGACCCTGGAGAAATCCCTATTATCTGACCTCGAGGTGGCTGCGCTATACAGTTAGTGTTCACCTGCAAACTTGAACAGATGTGTTCATTACCTCCATCAAATACTATGTTGATTTGAATCATCCAGTGTCTCATATAGTGTGGTATTTCCCGTGCTGGAATAGGCAAATCATGTATTGTGTTGTCTTTTAGCTATGAACTTCCCTCTTTGTGCTTCCCCAAACTTTGTTTCATCACTGAGCTGCAGTGAGAGGGTAGTAACAAAAAGAGGGAAATGCTGTAACCTTGGAAGATTTTCACTTAATTTTTATAACTTTATATTAGATCTTTAAAGGCCAGCATGAACAGGAAGAATGATTACAGCTAACAAAACCTGTTTTAATATGGCTATAGGGGTGCTGTACCTGACTGTTGTTTAAAACAGACCTGAAAAATTGTGAACCTATATTTTCAAGTATGTTTTTAATTCTCCAGTTCAGTCTTAGTCCAGAAATTCTCTCCACAGCATTAATAAGTTGCCCATTGTTCAAATTAAGCAATAGATCACAGATGAAATGCATCCTCCTGAAAATGTTAAAGTTGCAGAAACATTAACACACAAGTCTCCTGATGTTCTACTTTTTTAAAAAACCAAAATCAGCAATGAACTGAATGGTTTTTAACAAGGACTGCATGTGTATCCAAAGCCTAAATTATCCTATCCCTCTGTGCCACAGAACTCATGTTTTGCACTGGATGACATGTTCCTTCATTACCGTGAATATACACACCACGTAGTAGTTCATTCTGATTCAGACCTACATACAATGGTCAAGCCAAGTCAAATTTTATTTCTATATTTATTTCACAAATGTGCCTCAAGGGGATTTGCATCCCAGAACAGCATACAGCACCCTCTGTCCTTAGACCTTTGATTGGATCATGAAAATCTCCCCTGAAAAACCCATCCTGCTGCTGGAAATGCTCACCAGTGCACCGAATCTAAAAGCTAATTTACTTATGTTGATCATTCAGCTGGTCTAGAATATTACTAAGCCTATTTGTAGAAATACAGTGATATTTTGTAGACTCATTTTTAAACACTTTATTTTGGTTGTGAATAATTTCAGGGCTGAGAGGCACTGACAGGGAAGTGAAGTCGCAAAGTACTGAGAGACAGGATGGTTGATTTTTGGTCTTTTCATGGAATTTGTTGATAATCAAAATGAAAAATAATATTTTTTTTAACTTCCCTGCCTCTTGTGACATTTTAGTATGTCAGGCATGTAATAAAATTATTTAGTTTAGTACTGTTGAACACAATCTGTATACATGGCGTTATTAAAAGTTAGGTTTGAGGTTTTTCAGGTTCATCTTAAAACAATATGATGTTTCTTCCCATATGTACATGAGAGTAGGTCTTGGTCTGTAGTGATTGATTTAGCTCAGTGGAATCACTGATGTTTTGGCTGAGCTGAGTGCATTCTCTGCATTTTGTCCAACACTTCTCCCAGCGTAGTCATGCTCCTGGTGTGGAGCTCAGGAATAGGTGCAGTCACCTGTACATATGGGAACAGATTGTTTAAGGCAGACTTGTAAAATCCCGAGCCTTTCCTTTAATGAGGCATGGGTTAGGCATTGTAGCCTGAAGTGTGTGTGTCCCTCATATCATCACATACCTTGTCTCCTTGTCTTAATACAGTGTTAGGTTTAACATGTGCCTATCAATTACAATTGTCTATAATAACATTTAAATGTTGTCTTTTGCACTTTCAGGTGCAGAACTTAGAGAAGGCCGGGATTCTCAACAAAACAAAAGTGTGTGAAAATGGCAAGAAAGTAAGGTAAACCTTTTTTTTATTTTTCGGGGGGGCGGGGGGCAGAACAGGTATGACATTCTCACATTTCAGTTTATGAGTATGGATGTGAGTCACCTTCCCTAAAGCTCTTCAGTGCTTTGTTCTCTGTTAGTCATTATTTTCCCATTTCAGGAAAAATTGGGCGCAGACATGGACAGTTCTCCACGGAGGAGTGCTGACGTTCCACAAAGACCCAAAGTCTGCAGCAACAGGGGCCTCAGTAAGATACACACTTGACTAATACTTAGAATGGAGTGACATGTTTGTATCAGAGGAGAGGAAAGTGTTCATCCTGCATTAATAAGAAGCTGAATGACATCTGAATGCCACACTCCTGCTCGTGTCGCATTCTGTACATTGCTGAGAGGCCTGTGACTGGGAGTCCAACACAATTAACCACTCACTTTTCTTTTCCTTTTTTTGTTGTGACTTGAAGTTTTCAGTACATTTCCTGAAACTTTTTTCATACGTTCTGCACTCTCGTATTGCATTTCTTTTCTATAGTAAGAGAATAAATGAAACATTAAACTGCAGCCTGATGCAGGCTGTTGTGTGACCTTTGTGCCGAGTGACAAGCCCTCAGGTCATGAACTGACAGTCACAGTTACACCTTTCACCTCATGCAGCTTGTTTCTTGGAATGCATTAGTGCCGGTTTCATAGGCAGCTGTATTGTTTTTTTCCCTCTACACAGAACAAGACCAATCAGATTGTTCCGGAGGTCACGGTGGACCTGCGAGGAGCAACAATTGGCTGGGCCTCGAAAGACAAGTCCAGTAAAAAGAATGTTTTAGAGGTGTGTTTACACAGTGTGTGCCATTTGGTGAATGCTTTTAAACACAATCTCATTCACTTCATCTAATATTAAATTAACAGTTGAGTAAAAGGAGATTTTCTGTGAATCATCAAGCTGTGATTTGTGAGTCACATCAAAAGCTCCTGAAAACACATTTTCTCTACAACATTAAATATTTATGACTGCATAAGTTACATAAATATCAAAAAATTGATCACATAAATACTTAAGTGATCGTGCTGGATGAGATGTTATGGGTTCAGCAAAGTTATTGCAGATGGGGAGTATGAATCCCTGTAGCAAATTTAACAGCACACCATATAAAAAAGTCTTATGCAGTGTCCTTAATATCAGTTCTCTTTTCTAGTTAAAAGGCAAGAACGGTGTGGAGTTTCTGATACAGTACGATACAGAAGCCATCATCAATGACTGGCACAAAGTCTTGGTGGACACCATACGACAATTGGTAATTACTTTACTTTTCCATGATTGGTAGCTGAAAGTTTTGTGGAAGTTGAGCTATGCTGAAATGTTGAAACTTTCCAACCTCTTTATTAAAAATCACGTTCATTAAGGTCATTGCTAAACTTTACTTCTGTTTGATTGATTCATTTTCATTAGGAGTACCAGGACCATCACTCAGAGGAGGAGGACGGAGACTTGTATGAGAAAATTCCCAACATAGAGCGAGAAGACAAGCCTGGAGGCAGCGCGGAGAGACGAAGATGTAAGTTGAACAACCTACACTTTCTAACACTTTGAAAGCAAACCATCCATCCATCCATTTTCCTCCCCTTATCTGAGATCAGGTTGCGGTGGCAACAGGTTCAGCAAAGTGGTTCAGATGTCCATCTCCCCGGCAATGTTTTCCAGGTCCACTGGCAGGAATTTGAGGCGTTCCCAGGCCAGATGAGATATATAATCTCTCTAGCATGTTCTGGGTCTACCGCAGGGTCTCTTACCAGGTGGATGTGCCTGGAGGACCTCCAAAGGAAGGCACCCTAGAGGCATCCTAATAAGATGCCTGAACCACCTCAACTGGCTCCTTTTGATGTGAAGGAGCAGTGGTTCTACTCCGGGCCCCCCGGATGTCTGAACTCCGCACCCTATCACTAAGGCTAAGTCCAGTCGCCCTGTGAAGGAAACTCATTTCGGGCAGTCGTGTTTGTGATCTTATTCATTCAGTCACTGCCCACAGTTTCTGACCATAGATGAGGGTTGGAGCATAGACTAGCTGGTAAACTGAGAGCTTTGCCTTTTGGCTTAGATCCTTCTTCACCACAGCGGCCCGGTACAACATCCGCATTTCTGCTGATGCTGCACCTATCCACCTGTCAGTCTCACAGTTGATTTTACCCTCACTTGTGAACAATACCCTGAGGAAAGAGTTGGTCAACTGTTCCACGACCAGGACAGAATCTGCATTGTTCCTCTTGACTCTGAGTTTTGACAATCGGTCGGAGCCTCCTTTCCAGCTCCGCGGCGTAGGCTTTCCCAGGGAGGCCAAGAAGTGTGATACCCCGATAATTGGAGCACGCTCTTCGGTCCCTGATTTAATTGTGTCACGACTAATGTAATCACTTTGACCTGATTAGATATATCAGGCTCAGAGAGAGCTACAATTACATCCTTATATCATTCTTTTCTAGCCACAAGGCCCACTTCCACACCTTCAACCAGTTCTGCTGGAGACACAGACCAGAAGAAGGTTCGAACAAAGCTGATGAAGTTCCTCATGAAACGTCCCACGCTGCAGTCTGTCAAGGAGAAAGGCTACATCCGAGGTACTTTCTCTTTCTGGGTTTTGCTGTTTTGAATAGAAGTTAATGGAAACAGATAGGTAGAGGAAATAAACCCCGGAGTATCTACAATTAACAAATTTCACCCTGCGAGACACTGAATACATATTTATGACTGTAAGCACATGGAAGTGACTTCTTTCTGCAGATAGGCAACAGCAAAATACAAAAACAAAATGCAGTAATGACACAGCAAGATAATTGAAGCGAGTAATATGTTGATGCTATGACAAAGTACATTCATAAGGTAAAAATAAAGAAAAACTGCAGCTGGGACAGTTTACAGTGTGTTAGAATGAGGAAGAACAAAATGAAGCCAGTTACACCTACATTTTGGAAACCCAGATATTTGACCTGCTGTGAGGTCAAGTGACTTCAAGATGATGACGATGTTCTTCCTCCCTGCAGACAATGTGTTTGGTTGCCCTTTGGCTACACTGTGTGCACAGGAGAGAACCACGATTCCTAGTTTTGTGGAAAAATGTATCAAAGCAGTAGAAAAGAGAGGTAATCAATCAATCAAGTTTATATCAAAATCAAATCATACAGATTGCTGTGTGCAATATAGCAGCTAACCGACTGCTTGATGTACTGATTTATAGGTTTAGAAATTGACGGGCTCTACAGAGTGAGTGGGAACCTCGCTGTCATTCAGAAACTACGCTTCAAAGCAGACCATGGTAAACTCCATCAGTTTACATGTATTAATCTGAATAATTCCATCAATGAATCTGCATGCGGACCAAGTAGATGTTTCAAATAGCACCCAAAGAGTCCCTGCAGTATTTCACTGTAGGCAGCAGCACCCTCTGCTGTGCTTTAATAATCTGTGCACTTGTGTTAAAACAGAGGAACTGGACCTCGAGGATGGCCAGTGGGAGGACATTCATGTCCTCACCGGAGCGCTGAAGTTGTTTTTCCGAGAGCTTCCTGAGCCACTTTTCCCATTCAGCCACTTTCAGAGCTTCATTGAAGCCATCAGTAAGCAGATTTTTGAATCTGTAAATGTAATTAGGGCAGATCACATCACCAGTTCTAAGGACAAACTATTGAATAGAAATTATTCAGGTGCTGGGCAGTAGGTGATGATTATATTTATAACTGCCTTGCAACTTTTGTTCTGTTTTTCTAGAAACTTCTGATTACAACACAAAACTGAATCGTATGTATGACCTGGTCAAATCACTTCCTCCTGCAAATCATGACACTATGGAGCTCCTGTTTGGGCATTTACGCAGGTATACATCATTGTTTTTACTTTTATCCCCTACAGTGGTAGAAAGTAACTAAGTATATTTACTGAAGTACTGTACTTAAGTACAATTTTGAGGTATCTGCACTTTGAATATTTTGATTTTGTGCTGCTTCATATTTCAACTTCATTACATTTTAGCAGCAAATAGTTTACTTTTTATTCCACTACATTTATTTTATAGCTTTAGTTACTTTTCCACAGCCAGATTGATACAGGATGACTACTTTTTACTATTAGTACTTTATGTATGTCTTCAGACTAATATTTTTGTGCTTTTACTTCAGTAACATTTTCACTGCAGGATGTTTACTTGTAACAGAGTACTTTTACACTGTGCTATTGTTACTTTTATTTGTGTAAGGGAGTGCTTCTTCCACCACTGCTCCCCTGCGTGTTTCATCACATAGTTTGAGAACTTGTACAGTAAGAAATAAGTTAATTTGACAGTGTGCTTGAAAGAAGTTCTGTTGAGTTGAAAGTCCTGCCTTAGCTGCTCAGGACAAACCAATAAAAAAAAGACTGTTAGACTATGACTCCTCATGTTGTTATTTTATTTCTCCTTACAGGGTCATTCAGTATGGGGAGACCAATCGCATGACTGTGCAGAATGTGGCAATTGTGTTTGGCCCGACGCTGCTTCGGCCGGAGGTGGAATCAGCCAACATTGCAATGTACATGGTGTTTCAGAACCAGATAGTGGAGTTCATCTTGAATCAATATGAGCGCATCTTCTACTCCAGCTAAAGCTTTCAAAGCCTCCAGTGCAGAGCTGGGAAAAATTTTTAGTTATTTGAAGTGCTAGATTTACCTTTGCGTGCACATACAGCTTCAGCAGACATCTTGATAACAAAATGCTTCTTGTAAAATAAGGCAAAGGGCTGTTTTGAGTTTTCTTTGCACAGAATGTCTGAAGTTTAACCATGAAGTTTAACTAGATAAAGGGATCTTCCAGTAGTCTTTGCTGAGAATAACTGAAGAATGTTTAAACACCATTTAGTCAGAATTTTCTCCATAGGAGGATTACACTGTTAGAACTATCTTTGGCAGTATTGTAGGACTGAAAATCAAGCCGCAGACAGATGTGGTTTGGGTTCTTGTCTCAGAGCTTTTGATCTTGTTACTTGGGTGGAAGAATAATTATATCAGATTGCTCCTGCTCCTGCTCCCTGAGACTCTAGCTCTCTTAATCTCACAAGTTGAGTTCGCTGGGGTTTAATTCTTTTTTTGCTTTGTTTTGTTTTTTCCAAAAGAACCCAAGTCAAACCCGCATCACTGTTTTAAGAAATGATCACTCACTGCCATCTTTATTTTAGAAAGTTTAATGACATTTAAATATTGGATGTTGGATTATCATATATGGCAATAACTGAAATTGTATTCTAATATTGCATTTTTGTTTTTGTTTCATTTTACTTAAGAATGGTTTTATTGTAATATAGAAATGTACAAAAAATGAATATTAATACCCACATCTTGCTGTGAAGTAGATGGTTACATAGTTAGGTTATTTTCCACTTAATTTTAGAACGCAATTTTTCAATCATGCTGCACTTGAAGAAACTGTATATTAACATAGAAATAAAAATTAGTAATACATATTTTTGACAGCTGGCAGTAAATTAATTCTGATTGTAATATACATAAGTGGATATTAGAAGAGATTTATGTGTTGTATATAGAAATAGATGGCATATTTATGCTTAAAGTTGTTGAAAATGCACATGATATTCAATAATAAAATAACTTTCTTAAAAATCTGTAATTTTTCTTGTCAAAAAGTCACAAAGATGTGTTTATAAACCAACACTTTATGGTACACATGGGAGAAATTCAACGGAAAGTGATGGGTGTTTCGCTCTCTCTACAACCATTAAAATATATATTAATGATCACAAGAGCAACAAAGTTACAGTAGAGGGAGAAGTATTCAAATACTTTACTTGTAAGACGAGGAGTAATATCACAAAGCAAAAGAAAAACTCAGTTACAAATAAAAGTTCTGCGTTAAACAAAAGTACTTATGCTAACCCTAACACCTAAATTACAGATAGGAAAATGGGCAGTTTTAGATTGTTATTGTTGGGCATGTTTCATTATTGTTTTTGTTTTTTTTGGCTGACTACTTAACATACAAGCAGGCTTTGTTTGTTGCAGCTTAATCGAGGCAGAGCTGTTTTTACAAGTTAATTTGTTCTGTTTGGTAGTTCAATTTCTGTCATTTTATAAGATACGTTTTCTGTGAGAAATTATCTGCATAGTAACATATAGGTGTCAGATAATAACTACAATATTTCCCTCTGGAATACAGTGGAGTAGAAGTATAAAGTAGCACAAAATTGAAATAATACAGAATGGTAATGATACTGTATATGATCTGTTCACATTTTATCTATGGTTTTATGTATATATTTTTAGGTTATTCCTTTATAGGCCTATTCGCTTTATTTTGACCTTCACATATTTTATTTTACCCACATTTTATGCATTCCAGGAAGACCCAAGATTTCAGCTATATTTATATATTTTATAATGACAAGCAAACATGAAGTAAAGTTTGCAACTGTAATAAGAACAAGTTCCAAGTGCTTCTAGTGTACTTGAGTAAATGTACTCAGTATTGCTGTGTATATTGCTTTTGGTTTTTGAATATATACTATTTGTTTATTTATATAAATTTGTAAAGTAATTTATGTGGTTTTAATCGATGTATATGGAAGCAAAACGGCATCGTAATGATTTGAATTTATATCAGCATCTGAATAATAGGTTTTGAAATATTATACTTTGAATTCTATATTCTGAATTAATGCACTCTGAATTTTACGCAGTGAAATTACAAGTAGAGATTTTCAAGTTAGAAAAATACATAATTTCGATTTCAAACCACACCAATATTATTAAAATAATTCAAATATAAAAATGTACATGTCTAATTTTCAAAAAATATGTTTCCTGTAGTGCTGTGGCGCGAATGAACAACAAAGGAAAGTAAAGAGGATGGAAAGTTTTCACCTGTGATTTTTGAAGTGATGGCGGAGGAGGGCAGCGTGCCGTTAAGTGATAACTGTCTTTAAAACGTTGTGTTAGTTATGAATATTGTCTGATAGATTTTGTGATTTGCGATATAAGAGTTTTACTTATGGCTGTCCACAACTAGCTTAGCTAGCAGAAAAAGTTTGAAGACCACTGCTCTAGCCAATTTTCTTCAGACTGAAGAAGTCATTTGGATGAATGGTGAAATGTTTTGACTGTACTAGAAGAGAAGTTCAGTTTCTATGACTGAGCTTGTAGATGCGAAACAGTCTATTAATCACTGATTGAACAGCATTAGGTAGCAATAATCTTGTATCGCACCAGTTTGCAGAAGGACATCTTGACACTGATGAAATTAATCGATGTAAAAAATTATTACCCGCTGTCATTAATTAAAAGCTCATTTTGGAGCATTGAAATACGCTGGTCAATTAACGTACAGCAGTCCTACTGTGATATTATATGAGGGTTACATACCAGTGGATTTGTAAACATAATTATGCAAGTATTATGTCAGAATATATTTATATTGTAAAGCCAGATTAAATGACTATCCTGAACATGGTATTATCAAAGTACATCTATATATATATATTCATGGTGCCTGTCTGCACGCAGGCAAAGTAAATTTGTCTTATGTTCCAGAATCGAAAGGTTATGGAGAGATATGTGGGCAGCAGTGACGAGCATCTATTATGATGTTCTACACTACCTAGAAGAAGGCTTCCTCAACATCTCCAACAGTGTTCTGCACCTCCTTTGTTGCCATTATGCGTTCCTGCCATGCATTTCCAAAGTGGCTGGGACAACCATCCCATAAGAACTGAGAACCACATGACTCCTGACCAGCTAGGTCACATCTCTTACCCAGTTCCATCACCAGAAAATGTGGAGGTATTTTATTTTAATTAACTGCCTACTGTTACATTTGTTTACTTATGCAAAAACATCAAATGGAAACTAACTTTTGGCATGACTCTTTTGTTTTTAAGACTGTCAACATTCCACTGATCGACTGGGAGAACAGTGGCCTTCCTCCTTCTGACCATTCTGGTGTTGTAGTCCCAAGCATGGAAATCCCACTCACTGTTGGACAGATGGCAGCATTAATAGAGGCTGTTGATCCAAGAGCATTAATAGGGGCTGTTGATCCAAGGCAGGGGTGGCCAATTCCAGTCCTCGAGGGCCGCTGTCCTGCTTGTTATCCAACTATTCCTGCCTGACCTGCTGCTGATTACCTGGCTCAGGTGTGTTCAGCCAGTCAGAAGCTGGAAGATACCATCTTAGATGAAAGTGGAGTGAGGAAATATAAAGTGAATTGGTATCTTCCATCTCAATCCTTTGGATGTGATATTTACATTGCTGCAGTTCAGTTTTGTGAATGTTTTGAGCACTGAGATTGTTGCAACTTAAATAGTACAAATGAGGTTTGAAGCAATGAGGTTTGAAGCAGATGAATATGTAAAAAAAAAAGTAAAATATATGTAGTATAACTCATCCAGAAATGATAGTGTTTTTCAACTTTTTAGTTTAATATAAATCAACACAAAGCAGGAACTAATGCTGTTAAACTAGATGTGGATTAATCATTTTAATTATCAGTTGCATGATGTTTTGAAGAGAAATAACCAATAAAATAAATCTTGACAACTCTTTAATGTTATTTTGACATGAATATGGAAACTGTTGAGCATAACATAAACATACAGTCACTGACCATGGGGTCTCATCTGAAAAGATATGTACAAAAAACACTGTGAACCAAGACCCATTGTAAACTCAAACACAATACTGAAAATTCTTGAACACAAGATTTTGCTACATTCAATGCCATTTCCTCATCCTCTACTTCCTTATAACAGCCCAAATCCTGTGTGACATGTGCCAATACAGGCAAGAAGATCCCTTTGGAAAGACTGGTAACTGTTATAGTGTTGTGGGACTCGGAGGGTTTCAAAGCATGTAGAAGCAGTAAAAAGGTTACCCCTAACCACCTCTACACACACGTGTTGGCATCACCTCCCATCCGGTCCAGAACCTCAGCAGGCTTTTCAATTCATCTGGTGTTGCTATGTAAAAGGAAAACGTGATTAGGTCATCGGAGGAAAACTGTTCATACTTCATGAGTAATTTGTGCTCTGGGTCTGTGTGAATGAGAAGATGCAGACCCTCAAGAACTGCTGAACAAATAATTTAGCAGGCTAATTACACATTGGTGCACTAAATCAGTAAAGCTGCATGATTATCTATTATAACCCTTAAAGATCATACAGTAGCCAAGTTCCGATTAGATCAGCAGAGCTGACACTGGAAAGCTGGTGCTGGAAGAGCAGTAGGGACAGGGTTAATTACACTCTTCAACATTATGGAGTATATGGCCTACCCATATCTACAACCACATGTCACATGACCAAGTGAGGTCTCATGACACAATAAGACAACAGACCTGAACCTGTTACTATCACTGATCCAGTGTAAAATCCTTCAGCTTTACAACAACAAAGCTTCCATTCAAGCCATTGATTCCTAAAGAGTTAGGTGTTTTATCAAACACACAAAATATATTTCATTCATTTGAGATTACCTCAGGAACAGGGTGTGAAGCTCCTTCACCTGGGAAGAGCAAGCCCACTGTATCAGGTCTTTTTGTTAAGACTGTCCACATTCCATTTGTTGGTCATTCGCGCCACAGCACTACAGGAAACTTCCGCCTCTAGGGTCACATGACTGACCTGTGTTTACCCGATTGGCCAGGGATCCGATTGATGGCATTGTCACTCGATTGCTACTGCCCAGTGTCCCGGATGTTGTTTTGAATTTCTGCACTTGAATGTCACAGTCTGAATTATGAGTTGATTGAACTTTCTGGTTCTGAATAGTGCTTCTTGAAAGATACGCATTGAATATATTTTTTGAAAATTAGACATGTACATTTTTATATTTGAATTATTTTAATAATATTAGTGTGGTTTGAAATGGAAATTATGTATTTTTCTAACTTGAAAATCTCTACTTGTAATTTCACTGCGTATTCAGAGTGCATTAATTCAGAATATAACATTCAAAGTATAATATTTCAAAACCTATTATTCAGATGCTGATATAAATTCAAATCATTATGATGCCGTTTTGCTTCCATAGCGTAGTTAGTCGGAAATATTTGAGGGGTGCACTTGCTTTCGGAAGCTGAACACTGCATCAACTGCAATGAGTTTTGAGTGGCCCTGGCAGTATAATTTCCCACCGTTTTTTACGTGAGTCATTTTTTTAAACCATATTCCAGCAGGACTTTTACATATGTTGGTTAACTCCGTCTCCGTTGTTTGTATGTTATTGAATCGAAATGGGTTGATTTGCGAGCTAGCATCATGTTAGCCGGCTAGCTAGCTAAACGAAACTGATTGCTAAGGAAGTGGATTTTACACTTAAAGGTTTATGGCACTGGTCTAGTCATTTTAACGTTAATTCGGTGAATTATTAAGGCTCGACGTCACTGATTTAAAAAAAAACGTCAAAAGGCAACTGTTTGTCTTCTGTATGTCGTATTTTCGAGGTTAAAGAAGGTCTCTCTGTTAGCTCTAGCTGGCTGTTTTGATAGCCATCCTCTGCCTCAACTTCAGCCGGCAGGTACACACCTAAAACAAGCAATACTTAAATGTTCACCAACTAATAATCAGTGTTAAGACCAATAATGTGACCCATCAGTATTGCACCCTGGGTTGACTGTTTTACCATTGGAAATGCTTTTTCCTCATCGTCATATGCTATATTTTGATACTTGATACCGCAAAGAAAGACATGGACTGAGATCTAAAGGTATGATCAAGTAGTGTTCAGCAAAATTTGGAGATATTGCACAGTTTCGTGGTTCTGAGCATTGTCTTTAGAAGTGTTGTTACAAAAAAGAGTGGGTTTAAATACAACTGCATCATATTCCCTTATTGCCTCTGCTGCAGCACTATAGCAGTTTGCAATGAGAGACTGCTGGTGTTGCGAAACATACACTATGCATTCTGTGCTTGTGTTCTGAAGCTGTTTTCCATGGTTTAGCCTAGTTTCCTTAGCACTTAGCCGTCTGTTAAACCCATATGTGGTTATGGAACATCTCGTTCCAATACCACTAACATGCTGCTATAATAGTATCTACTCTACCGGAAAATTTTGGGACCAGGCTGTAGAGATTCCATCCACTTAGCTAACAAGAGCACTAATGAGGTCCACCACTTAATGTTAGGTGATAAGGTCTGCCTCACAGTCAGTGTTCCATGGTATCATCTCTCGTTACATATTTTCCAGTATCCAGTTAACCACTGTCATCTGTTTGTCTTGTGCTGACTATACTCCTCTCTTTGTGGACAGGCTACAGCCCAATGCTGACACGAGACAGAAACAGCTGGCGGCATGGTGTTCCCTGGCCCTGTCCTACTGCCGGCATCAAAAACTCTACACCCTGGATGTCATGGAAGCCCAGGAAAGCCCTGTGTTCAACAACAAGAAGATAGAACGTATCCTAACACAGAACCCATGGTTCAGCCAGTATTTTTGTGCAATTTGTCATGAATAGTTCATTCTAAAACAGCTTTGTCCTTATTGTGTCGCATCATGTTTACCTAGGTAGTCTCATGGGGGCTGTGAATCAAGGGTTTACTGGCTGCCTATATTGTGATATAAATTACACTCTACCCATAGGATATTAATGTTGACACTCATTACAGCAAGGGTAGGTTTTAAATGTTTTTCAGTATAATGTGACCTTGATAGCTGCCCTCCACACTGCTGCATTAGTCTCTGTTGAAATGAATTATGTTGAGGGTTTCCTCTTGATTTTCGTGGATATATATATATATATATATAATTCCATAATACTTCTAAAAGTATAGCTGTCTAAAATTAATGCAACGACCCTGCAGTAAATTGTACCCTCATGATGATTATCATGATCACATTTGTTTGATTTTAGAGAAGTGTTGATTCAATGCTATAATTCTTTAGGGAGCCGTAGTTTATGGTGCCATTGAATTATAGTGAGAGGTGTTCCTAATATTTTGTCAATAGAGCAAACAAGACACATTTCATTATAACACTATACAGTTCAACAGCACCACAAACTGCATCCTCCGAAATGATGATAAAATTGAATGGACACCTGTCTGATACAGTTTTAATTATTGTACTTTATAAGCTTTGTGAACATTGAATTTATTGTAGAATTGTTGTTTGACTGCATTAGCGCTGGTTATGTGTACCTAATAAACTGGTAACTAAATGTGGACTTTACTTTAGAGGTCAAACTTGAGCACAGAAGGTCATATTTGCATGATTACTGAAAACATTTGACCTCTGTTAGTTTTTCTAGTGTTACAGGTGTTCATCACGTGCTGAGCATAAGATGAAAAGTGAGGTGTGGAAATTCACACAACTGAGGCGCTGACTGTGCTCCTGTATGTTTGTTACCTATTTGTCGAACCTTAACTGAATTCCAGGAAAACTGTCAATGGAAACGATTCAAGTTGTGTTTGAGGAACTGAGAAAAAAAGGTAAATTGTGTCCTGTCTAGATCTTTGTATAGTGTAGTGATTAAGAATACTCTCATTGCCTTGCTGTGATTTTATTTCAGCGGTTTAAAACATTTTTATCATTGTGCTGTCTGCCTTCAGGCAACCTCGAATGGCTGGACAAAAACAAGTCTCGGTGTTTAGTCATGTGGAGACGACCAGAGGAATGGGGCAAGTTAATATACCAGTGGGTGAGTCATCAAACTTAGGTGTATACCTTTATTGTCTGTGAAACTGTACAGTTTAGTGTGTTTGTGGAGCTGGTAATGGATGAATGGAAAGATGCAAGTGATCTTTAATGCAATAAATAAGAGATCAATTTGAAAGCACTGTACATTGTTGTTGTCAGATGTAGTATTATGCTATCATCGTGTTAAAGCCTCTACACCAGGTTACTCTGGTACAACCTTTTTATATGATATGCAGCATACACATAGAGAACATCAAGAACAGTATCATCAGTAAATACAGTCATTAATCTCAGCAGTGCTTTCTGAATGGGAATTTGATAGTAGGTTCAGCTTGGTCTCCTTTGCCATCATTCCACTGCCAATGAGAACCGTGCTGGGATTTGCACGTTTCCATTGTCTCAGAAACGGCCCATGCTCAGGCTGAAAACCGTGATATCTGGCCCTGCTCAGAGGCTGCTAGAGCACACTACTCCACACCCAACCCGGCCATCTGTGTTACTACACTGATTGGCAGAGAGAAAACTTGAGCAACAGTAAGTGTCTCAGCCTAAGAAAGAATCTCAGCCTCTTTTAAGAAAAGGAAAAAAGCAAGGCAGTACAACAGATAATGTCTGTCGATTGCATGTTTGCTCTCTTGCATGCTTACTGTTGATGGCTGTTCTGGTTGCACAGAAGACAGCACCATGACATGTTGCACAAGACAAATGCCCACGCTCTACAATGGAAACATAAACGTGTACGAAGACCAGTCAGTGTGGGCCAATAGATGGCCAGCTGGCCGGAGTACAGGGCAGTTCGCGGTGGCAGTCGAATGGCGGCATCTGTGTTCAGTGGGCAGACTGGTCTAAGGTTTGGTAGAGATGTGGGGTAGGCAGTAGCCCCTACCATGAAAGAGAAATGCAGCTCCAGGTAATTTTAAATTTGTGTTTTGTGTACTGGCTGATGTGGCATTTGTTAGCCATATCTACACATGCATTCAGCAGTCACCTCTTAGATTCAGTGTGTGTGTGTGTGTGTGTGTGTGTGAGGGTGTGTAATCACGCATCACTGAGATTAAGATTAATTCCAGTTAGTCAGAAAATCCTCCAAATTGTAGGGCTGCCTTCTTGTTGAACTGCAATATTTAGTTCTTTTATTTATAGATATATTAAATATTATTGATGCAACATGTGGGTGTGGCTGATTTGTTGTTTTTTAAAGGCACCGGTGTTGGGCAAGGGTGTAGTTTTGGTCTCAGCATTGGTATTGGAGTCTCACCTGAAGCACTAAAGATGCATGTGTTCCCTCATCAGCCTGCTCTGCTTCTCTTACCTGATGCTGCTTCTGACATGCTGTGCAAAATAATTTATCTTCATGGGGTTTCATTTTATTCTTATAAAAAAAAAGTTGGGAGGTGACAGTGGTTCAGTGGGTAGAGCAGTCGTCTCCCAACCGGAAGGTTGAAGGTTCGAAACTCGGTGCCTGCAGTCCACATGTCAAAGTGTCCTTGGGCAAGACACTGAACCCCCCCATTACCCCCGATGGTTAGAGCCATCGGTTGAGTTGGCAGCCGCAGATGGCTGCCTCGGGTCTGTACCCGAAAAAAAATTCTTTTTTATATGTATGTATATATATATATATATAGCCTGTTTTTTACAATAAAAATTCACCACAGGTATACAAAAGCATATTTTTCCAAACTAATCGTTGTAGCACAATCAGTAGATGGACATTAATGTGTGAAGTGATTTTGGTGGCACTATAGTATATGAGTAAAGTTACTGAATTTTGTAGTAGGCCCATCTCTTTTCAGCGTTGCACTTTGTAGACGGTCCCTCCACACTCGCTTCACAGCTGGCTGCACACTGAGGCCAGTGCTATTTGTCTGAAGCAGAGGACGGCACATTTTGATAAAAAAAATTAGCTTGTAGCTCATTGTCTACATTATTATGAAACTAAAGAGGCATCATTTGTATTTTAGCAACATTTCGATATTGATCTGGAAATTCTGAATCTGTGAATATCGTTCCCACTTTACAGAAGTCGGCCAATATAACGTATCGTTGTCAACACACTGACCGACAGCTGACTCCTCCTCATCGTCTGAGAGCAAATATGACATTTGCACATCACGTGAGCTTTATATCGCCCCCTCCCTTTCAGTTGGTCAAGCACATCCTAATGAATCCTAGTCCAATATTACTTCACTCAGAGTTGGATGCACTATCTTTGGAGTGAAGTTCAAAGTTAATGTGCATGGGTTTCCTCAAATATTGGTAAGGACATGTCTCCACCGTCCATATGCAAAACTCCACTGTTGATGTAAGGGATTACTTTTGCTGTTGAATAATTAGCAAAGGAATGAAATGACTTTACCAATGACTAATGTGTAATCAATAACTGATTGCAGTTGTCATGTAACTTGCCCAACACTGATATTTAAGAAAGTTGGCATTTTTGGCCATCTATATGTGTAAACAGGTTTCTAATCAGCCTCTTGTACATTCACAGGGAAAGTAATGCTGTGACTGCAGAACGGGCAGATGAACAGACAGATCCTTTGTAACTAAGCATCTGTCTACTCAAACAATCCAAAGGCCGCCTACACCAGAGACAGTAGAATACACAAGTAAAAATTAGTCCATTGTCGATTTGCAGAATGAATAAATTTAATTTCCGAGTAAATGATCATCACTATGTAATGTCATTGTTTAGCCTATACCTGGCACTAGCAGAACAAGCTCATCAGTGTTCATTCCTATTCTTACAGCAAACTACTGGTTATAAATATACCTGGCAGTAGAACTAATCAGAGAAGAGCACATACAGTTCAGAATTCACCGAAATAGATTTAAAATGGATACAGACGCTGCAACGAGTACAACCTGTCCACATACATGTGTGTAGGAGGAACATAAACACACAAGTAGCATCACAAATGGGTGTCATGCTGAGTGTTGGTTCACGCATCGTGACAGTAACCAGTGAACTACTAGCTCTGATGGGACCATGCACAGTATTACACCCCCCCACCCCCGCTTCCTGCATCACTTGTAACACCTGAACGTTGCTGTGATTGTGTAGAAACTAGCTACTAGGTGAGCAGAGAGGTTGAAATGGATACAGGAGCTAAGGCTAAGTATGGCAGAAATACCCAGTTTCTGACAGCAGTATGAATACAGACCTGCTGAAGTAAAGAAGAAGAGACCCGGCCTTCACATAGCCACTTCAAGGATCTGTTTGATTTGCATAGAAGTGATTGTGACAGTAGTCACAGTATCATTCGGTTTCAAATCAGATTAAATGATCACCTTTTAAACAAGAGGGTCGGTGTCAATGAAGAATACTCAGTTCACATGTTAGCTGATAAACACCACAGCAGGTGCAGTCCACAAGACACACACATTAAAGCAAAAAGTGAGAGTCAGCAAATGTTGCTGCACAACTCAGTGGCTGCTGAAGTTTTCTGGACAGCTGGTTCCAGCCTCTCACTGACTCATAGCTGTGTTGTGTTTAGCATCTCTTGTCTCAGTGCACTTCTCAAACTGTTTTAATACTGTTGAGCCTAAAGTATGAGCGTGTAACAGATTGTCCAAACTAGCAGAAAGTCTGTGCATTGTGCTTCATATCTGATGAAGACAGATTTAAAAAAAAAAAAACATTTTTTAATATAAAACAAAACAAAAACACAACCTGTGAATATGAAGTCAGCTGTTGTCTTCGACTGTGACCATTACTCTGTTCTCTAACATTTTAGGTTTCCAACAATGGGATGACCAACTCTGTGTTTACACTTTATGAGTTGTCCAATGGCGATGACACAGAAGGTGAAGGTATGATATCATGATTTTCTAGGCTCAATAATTAATGTATTTAATTGGTTTTAAATCTGACTTGGAATAAGTAAAGTATAGACCTCGGTAACGACGGTCAACACAATAGCAGCTTCACAGAATTAGAATCATTTTTAAAGAAACCTTTACATTTTTTGCCCTGTTTTATTTCACTCTTAGTTTATCTCTTGTACCTTTTAATTGCTTGGTTTTATTTAACTCTAATCAATCTTGATTTTTCCCATGAAAGAACCTTGTAGCTTTTGTTTTAATGTTCTGTATAAATAAAGCTTTTTATTGGCTATCATTACAACCATTCACACTTTACTCCCACTGTGCCTTCTGACACGAGTTTCCCTTTGTTTCTCCAGAGTTCCACTGTCTAGAGGAGTGGATGCTCCTTCGCTCCTTGCAGGCTTTACAGACACAAGGCAAAGCAGAGATCATCACCATAGATGATGGAAAAGGGGTCAAATTCTTCTAAAACAGTGCTGGAATCACACACTCTGACTAGGAGTCCTCATACTGTACCTTACAAGGCGATTTTTTAAGATTTAGCCATTTAAGGCTACACAAGGAGCACGTCAGTGCCCAGCCCAGGGGATGCTGGTCCTGCAATTGTTGATGCCTTTTGGTTTGCCCCAAGTTCAAAGCCTTTTCTTAATGAAAGAGAACCAATATCATTTAAGTCTTGGTGGAGAAGAGCATTTGAGTTGACACTGTGTTTAGTTGTCACAGGTAATCTTTGTTGCCATTTCATAATGCAAAGAGTCTGTCAGGGGACCTCATACTATCAATACTTCAGGGGAAATCCTTTCCCCGCCAGCTGCACCTTTACTCTGTCTTTACTGTAAATATGACTAGTTTTATCCAGATTGTCCCTGTTGATAAATTTCCTTAGCTCTTTGCTTAGCTGTGGTTAATTTGTTCTGACCAGACATCCCAAAAGAAATCCCAGAATCCACCACCAGAGGGATTTGCTGTATTTTTATTTTGACAATAAATGTTTCCAGAAGAGGAACACCACAGAGACTGGGACTACCAAGGACCACCTTGTCTCAGCTGAGTGTAATAATACTGGACTTAATGTACACATTGCTGTTGTCCTATTATTGTGCAGTAGCTACTGTGACACTCCCTTTATCCCTCCTTGCTCTGTCTATATTCAACCTTTTTTCATATCCTGTAGAAAAATAAATAGAAGTTTCCTAGATATGTTTCATTTTTCTTTTCATCCAAAAACGTTTGGAAACTGTGTTTACAGTCTTCAGTTAACTGTTGGGTGAAAACCTGAACAGAGTGCGCAGACGTGCAGAGTCGGACCACCCTGATGGAGATGTGCTCCACTTTGTGCCCGCAGCTGTACTGAATGACCTAATGGCTGCATGGTCCACTCACATGTGCTGCTGTGTCCCTGCCTGTGGGAATGATACAATTCCACTGAATCCTGTGTATGAGGCTGATAACGGCCAGTGTGGGCAGGTGGGGTCTTGCGTGGCTTTGGCTGATAAAGGTGTCTTGTTTCAGCAGCATGTGTTCCCGCCTGCAGACCGACTGGCGCGCGCGCGCTTTGGCTGCATGTCTGTCGTTCTGTATCTTCAAATGACGACAGACCCAGAGAACCCAGTAGTGAATTAACTAATTAAGAGGAACTTTAGGATATGTCTTCAAAGGGGGGGGGGGTCTGTTCGGTGATGTTTGGACTATGTCTGGCACCTGTTGAGCTAATTAACACAATGAAGTGTCAAAAAAAAGAGTGAATGGTTCTTTTGGAAACGTTTCCCGTCTTTCGCATCTTATGAGTTCCACTATATTACCTCCAAATGAGGTTTTACATATACTCAGCAGATCTTTTTTGAAAACCAACCAGGAATAACAAATTCAAAACAAAAATAACACCCTTCTATTGAAAGCCATAATGCTACTTTGCAAACACTCGTTAAACCCATACTGTACTCGCTCCCTGGGTCCTATGAGCGCTTTAAAGCTGCTGGGGGCGGAGCTGGGAGCGCACAGGACGCACAGCCCCCCTGAGCTCTGTTGATAGAGCCAGCTCCCGTCCTTCCATCGCAGGGTATGGCTGAGGACTTTGTAAAGAAGAGAGAAGAGAACAACACAGACTGTCTCATAGGAACTACACGTTAATGTGAAATGTTTACGTTGCGACTGTGATGAGTAAGTACATGTTCTTATTTTTGTGCGTTTTGACGGAGTTGGTAACTGTTCCTAAGGTTGAGTGTTGTTATGGGTGATTGTTGTCAGTCATATTTAATCTTGGGTTGTTAGTCATGTAGGAAAACGTATTTTGTGGTTATCCTTTGCTTAAACCACAGATTCCATGGATCTCGTGAAAAAGTAACTGGGTATTTTTATTGTCCTGTGTCCTTTCCACATTTAGGCTCTAATAAATCAAGTCGGCATTGAACCTGCTAGAATGTCACATGCACAGGTCCAGATACCAGGACGTGGTTTCCCAGGCCTTTCTGTGGGTATGACCGACGACTGCTTATCCCGGGTGCCATCCGTGCTGAGGGCGCACGGTTTGGGCGCACGGAGAAACTCTTACGGGCTGCAGAAAATTAGTATGGACATTGATTCGCCTCTCTACAGCGGCGTCCTTTCCAAAGCCTTGTCCTGGTCCGCTGAGAATATCCCAACACTACCCGAGTTCAGAGCAGAGGACGAAAAAAACGACGAATCTCCACGGTCGCCGTCCCCCGTTTCCAGCCCGGGAACCAATTCCAACACGCCCTCCTGCAGCCAGGAGCCCGACCTCGGCCCCCTTACTTGGGATCCCGTCCCGAGGTCCAACGCCCAGGACGCCAGCTCGGACTCTGAAAATGAACATAAAAATAAAGAGAACAAGATCTTGTCTCGAGTCGCCTTTGATACTCACTGGGAGCAGGAGGAGAAAGAGGAAGCGGAGACCAAAGCGGTGGCAACCTCACCTGATGGAAGATATCTAAAATTCAACATAGAGATTGGAAGGGGATCTTTCAAGACGGTCTACAAAGGACTGGATACTGAGACCACAGTGGAGGTGGCCTGGTGTGAGCTACAGGTAGGATGTCTTGTTTTTAGTTCACTGTAGAATAAAACTGAAATGTGGAATGTGGCCTTTCTTATGTTAGTTGCAAGTCTTCATCTATTCATAGTGAAAAACCAGTTCCCTTTATGTACCCTACCACACCAAAATAGTTTAAGGTTTGCAGCCAAAGTTGACACTGTAGTATTGTATCTCCCTTTCTCTCCTGCAGCAACAACCTTAGTTCAGGTATATAGGCTGACACTTTCCCTGCTTTCCTGCCCCACTCCTCTATAATCTCTCCTCAGGCCATCAGGGTTGATGTGAAGCAGCTAATCTACTGCACATTATTTTGTGTTGACATTGAGTTGGGTGGTGGCAGGTCTGTGTCTGGTAAGCCAGGTCATCCTGCCAGCAGTCAGCTCCACTCTGCCTGCCACGATCCCTTCTAATCTGTTTTCTTTACGAACTGGTGACACCAAGGATACATCTCTGAGAGTCACCTGCCAACTAAGAACAACCGAGAAGCAGTAGATCACCTGTATGCAGCTGTTCTGACCTGCCATCAGTATTTGTGAGAGCAGAGCTATATGTGCTTTGAAATGTTTCCATTCTGCATGATGGGGCCTGTGAGATCATGTTCAGCTCAGCGATCTGGCCTTGCAGGGCTCATATGGAACATGTAAACATCACAGAGAAGACAGACCAAACACTGCTGATCTCCCTCTGTGTCTGCTGATGAAGAAGTGGTTGTCTGTGAAGTTGTAGACATGTCCCTTTCTATGCCACAAGGCTTGACACTCGGCCACTTTTCTTTCGTGCACAGTTTGATAGCATAGAAGGGGATTTAAACTTTAAGTCAACCCGTACTGTTTGCTGGTGTGTTTGACCTGAATTGAGTCTGTGTTTGGCAGCATTAGGTGTGAAGTTTTGCCCTTGACCCTCTAAACCTCAAATTAAGTCCCATGCCACTGATAGTCACTGAAATAATTACTTTTATTCTGATCAGTCTAATCTTAAAGACAGTGGAAGTTGTTTTACGACAGCAATACAATCAACTTTTCAGTTTGCTCAGTACAAGATGCATAGTCTATCTTGGATTTAAGCTCCTCAGGGGGAACTGGAGCACAGACGGCCTGGGGTCAACAGGGTGAATTGAATCTTCCCCCAAAACTCCAGCTGCAGTAGTTGGGGATGTCTGCCTCAAGAGGTCAAGAGAACAGGTGTTTGTTTGGGGGACGAACAGAGTCACAGCCCCTTTACCTGCAAAGTCGTAGATGTTTCACCCCCCTGAGTCAAACACACTGATCTGACTTTTAAACCAAACCCTTGCTTAAAGTTTTGTGGAATGAAAAGTGTAGCACATGATGTTGTCGCTCTGTATCCAGGGGTCATCTGCAAACGTGCTGTCATCTCTTTACTTGAGGCATGAGCCCAGTTAAGCTTGTTAATCGCTCCTAATAGGCTTAAAAGTGGTCATTGTTGATATGGCTACTGTTACTGTTACTGACTTGGCTCCAGTCACTACTATGTGCTCCTGTTTGCTTAAATGAACACAAAAGATGGCTGTTGGTGGCTAAACACACTCACTCCTGTAATGCTGATGGAGCAGCAGTTGAGTCATTTCATGTCAGGGAGAAATTTAATCTCTTTTGATTATGTATTACAGATACTAAGATGTAATGTGCAAGCAGTGTAGTTCAAACATCTGCTTTACCTGATTCCCACTTAGAGAGATCATCATTTTAATTTGTCTTACTCAACACTCAAAGGTATTTTCCTGTGTACAGTATATTGTATTACACTGAACACGGGTCTGCCTGGGTGGTGTTTACTGGATCATTTTGTATTAGCAAATGATGTGCATTCAACCACAGCATGCATGAAGACAGTGTAAAACACCCGACAGAGCTCAGAAGTGTCACCAAATATTAAGACTATAAAACTGTACAATAAAAAAAAAAAAAAGCACTCACCAGAACCAAAGTTCTCTTAAGCCGATATTAACAATATTTGGATCTAACATAGGTCTGTGTGGTTACTTTTTTACTGTATGAATATGTAGCATTTGTCCCAGTTTGTTTTGTTATACTGCTACTGGACAGAATACAGCTTACCACAGACATGCTGCTATATATATATAGACATGTGTATATATCAGCTGATAACAGCAAGAAACATCAGTGCAGAAATGTCAGAGATTTGTGTTGGCATTGCACAGTTTGTCCAACAGAAAGCAAAATGTCCGGCTCACTACATATTGTTTTTTAGTAGCAAATCTTATGCTCGTTTTATTTTCTGTATGTTTTTGTATCAAATCTTTAAATATCACAAGCAGGACTGGATGAGCCTATAAGATCACCAGTCAGGCTCAGTAGATGATTATAAAGAAAAATCCAGACATTTTGGTGTGGTGTCATGAGGCAAAAAAGTCAGATTCTCATATTCTATGTCCATGCTTAGTCATTATAAGCCATTTCCACTGGTTGCTCTAACATTAAATTATGCATTTAGATCATATACAGATAAATAATGAAGTGAAATAAAATGCAGTTCAGCCTGATGTTATAATACATTTTAGAGTCATTAACAAATTGAAGATAGCGTAGCTGGATCTCTTAAACATATAAAGAACTTTAGAGCTCTAATGTCATGCGGCTGTAAGTTTAGAGATGTTTAGGGCTTTGCTGAAACAGCCATGTCCAAAAGAGGAAAACCTATCCCAGGTAGCGGCTCCCCAATGGCCCACCAGTGACCCAGGTGCTATACAGACAATATAAACTGAGGTCTGAAGGAAATCTAGTGGTGATAAAGAATGGATGAGCTGTTGTGTGGTCATATACACATACATAGTGGCAAAAAGTAGAGCTGAAAACCTGCATATTTTATAAATCTGCAGCAAGTAAATGCTGCATCAGTCACTGCAATTAATCAGGAGCATGCAGCTCTGATCTCACACAGCCAACTGTGAACACAACAGCACAGTGAGCTACTGAGTAACCGATAGCAATGAGTGCACCCAAGCAGGCACATTTTGTGTTTGGTGAGACCCTTTAAAGGGCATTGGTTGCACAATACCTGATCTTATTCAAAGGCAGCAGTTTCCAGAGGTTTCCTCCAGCCTGCAGCACACACGCAGACACTGTTACTCTTATGTTTCATTTTTAAACCTTAACCATCTTTATATAAACAGTTTTGCCATGATCCACTTAATCATAGCCACCTGTATTTTAACTGTATGTTTCATTTTTAAACCTTAACCAACCTTTTAACCATCTTTATATAAACAGTTTTGCCATGATCCACTTAATCATAGCCACCTGCATTTTAACTGTATATGAGGGCCACACTTAATGCAAGACCAGCTTGACCACAGTAAAAAATTTTGCTGATTATACTGTAATATAATGCTCAACCATATGCATAAGCAAGTTTCAAAAGACCTGTTGTGTGTTGCAGGTGATTAGCACAGGTTAGCATAAAGACTCAGTGCTGGAATCAATTGTGAATTTCCACACTAGTATTGAAACATTTCAAATGATTCCCAGCTCTGCACGTCATTTGTTTTCAGCTTTGACTGCATCAGTTCTGAAACAACCGGCATTTTAATAACTGACAAGCAATTTTAGTCATTTATCAAGTGAAAAATGTCACATTCACTGGTTCCACCCAAGCAGCAACCTCAGAGGTAGAGAAATGAAATGAAAGTGACAAACGTGCAGTTTCTCAAATGGCCACTTGAGGCAGTCTCCATAAAGGAGTCAGTCCCCTTAGACTCCAACTAAAATGTCCAACTTTAACTTAAAATTGTTGGACAAGTTTACACCCTGGTACAAAAAAAGTGGTTTGGTCATGGTAGGTTTATCCAATTCTTATTTATAGTCAATGGTTCCACCTTATAAAGGTGAAAAAAGTAAATTTCTCTCTTTTATATCAGCAGCAGAATTTTATGTTGAATATGTATTTACTTAGCTTGACTTGAAATTAAAATCCTGCATCAATTTTGTAACACTGAAGCAATTACATTTATTATTAATGGCAAAGAAGAGACAGCAGTTTTGAAAACTGATTACTTATCACACAAAAAAAGTTAAAACAATCACTGCTTCCAGCTTCTTAAATGTGTTGTTATTTTATATCATTTTTGACGATGGTGTCTGGGCCTTTTACCGTGGGAATTATTCACTATTCTCTAACATTATAGATATAGTATTGGCAGACCTTATTTATTTGTATAAAAGTAATGTGTTTCAAGGAGCCAGGGTTACCTAAGGAGAAGACGAAAGAGAAGGCAGTGTGCTGGTGGAAGATTTATAGTACATCTCCCCTGCTGAAGTATAAGATGGAACCATTATTGTAGCAGTGAATGTGGGCGCATGGGGCAGAGAGAGCTGGAAGCGGCACAGTTTATGGTGTAGCTTTTAAAGCTTGTATAACAGAGCCAGATCAAATTAAAGCTGTAAAACCTAGTGGTGTGCTACAGGGTCTGCACAGTTTGGATACTGAGTTAGGAAGTTAAACAGTACTGCATAAATCTGGTTTGCACAAACACTAGATTACTGGCCCCCACCCCCCAGCTAGTTGGGGCCTCATCAAAAATGTAGTGTGTTCAGTGACACAACACGAGCCTGTGGTCTTCATATCAGTACAGCTGTAGCCAATATCAACACTCTCTTTCCTCCCAGGGCCCTCAGCGCAGTGAGATCCAGCTTATCAGAGGCAGTCAATGTTCTTTGAGGAGAAAGTGAAGGAGGCGCACAATGATAGCTTACATTTACATGTGGCAGCACGTCACTTTGACGTGAGGGCTGTTTGTTTTTTGTGTTAGTGCTGCACAGTCCTGAAAGGAAGGTCGCACTGTGTCACCTATAAAAGTTGTCTTGTCCCAACTGTTGCCTTGCAAGATACAGCTTATCTGTATCCATACAGTGTGCAAACTAGATAACACTGTCTCATTGGCTGCTGTTGGTGGATGCTCTACTGTAGGTACAGTATAATCTGGGACAACATGGTGGCTCTGAGTGTGTTCAGGGGCC